ATGAAAAACTTACAATTATTCTTTCTTTTGATTGCAACTCTCTCTGCAACTCGAATCCAAGCTGAATCCCAACAAAAAGCGGAAAATCAGTGCTCAAGTGTGCTCCAGTCTGCCGGAGCATCTCAATGGTTTGGAGCTAGCGTTGCACATTCCATTCACTCGATCAACGTTCGTGCTCTTCAAAAATTTGAACCATCAACTACCGAAAAGAATTCTGTGCCAACGGTTTGTAAAGCATTGATTCTTTCAATAGGTTGTTGGCGATCGACCTGTTCACATCAAAAACTCTGGCTAGACTGATCTTCTTGTTAAAGTTAGCACTTTACACCTAGTATTGAGTACCATTAAAGACCTTTAATGATTCTTCTAGGTTCAGCTACAAGTTCTATTGAAACAAGTTCTATTCGAAACAAATAAAAGCCTCACGGCAGCTCTTGTCAGCGGCTGAACGTTGCCTTAGCCTTCTACCCAGCCCAACATTTGTGTGTTTCCAAAAAAAGTTTTTCGAAACGTGGGACGACTGTTACAAGGGGCGAAGCGAGCCTTTCATCCTTGCAACCGTCTTAGAGACGGAAGTGATAACCACCCGGCCATACCGTCCTTTTCTTAGCCATCGAGGCAGGCGATCTAGTAACTGCTCGCGCCGGAAAAAGGGCTGGGCCTCGATTTTAACTTAGATTTCTTTGGGCACGATTTTAGAAAAACCGGCTGAGCCAAATAAAAAGTGGCAAAACAAGAAAGTCTTGTACTTTGATATAGTTTCTGGTGTCCAGTTTCTGTTCTGGTATAAGGCCATTTCCTCTAGGTCCACCAAAAAACGTGACAAAGATCTTTCAGGTGAATCTCGACTTGTCAGCTGATCGCCCAATTCTCTCACATGCACCAGATCGACGCGGCCCAAGCGACTCGATGTACCTCACCGATGGAATGAAGACGTTGGATGAGGTGAGTGATTCATTTACTAATATCAAGTCGAGTACTACGTAAACCGTAAGTTGATCGGTTAATTATTCATCGAGAAAAGAAAGCTTTAACGCCACAGTGCCCAATACGTTGTACACTTTAAAGGAAGCACAATTTCCTAATTGGAAGCGCAATTCTACTATTTGGATACTCCATAAGTTTACTGAAACAAGTATGCTTAATGAAGGACTTGAAGATGTGTTTTACAAAGTATAAACAGCATCCAGAGTAGGGTAAATCCTTTTTGTCCTTTGAGAATTGTGTAGGGTTTCTGAAGATCATAAAACACAGCTCTCATAAAACAAATGCTCATATCCAATCGTGTTTCTAGGTCCTCTCTCATATGGGTGACAAGAAATGGGACATCGGATTCTTCTCTCCTCTTGAACGAGTCGTTCATGTCTTCCACATGCAGGAAGCCTGGGAAATGACTCTTAAAGAATATCAAAAACTCAAGCAAAACCCGCCGTCATCCGATGTCTGCAAATGTGCTAAAGACATCGAAAACAACGGTGTACTGAAAATGCTGCGATTCAATGCACTGGCCATCCGAGAGGCTTCACTCATCTACGGCGACACGATGAAAGCTTACGATACGAGCTTGCAGTACTATATCCAAGGCGGATACACTTATCGTTTCAAACCGGAAAGAGTCTTCAAGTGGGTTTTGTAACAAAAAACAGACTAATAGCTGGGTTATTGCTTAAAAACTAGCGTTAAATTGAACCCCAAGAGCTTATGCATTCATTTTTTAATAATAAGAGATTGGATCTTGATATCCATCTCTTTCCAACATCCTCTCAGCACTAATGGAACATAAAAAACTTTCGAAATTCGAAAATCTATTAATCTATTGTCATTATTTACATCAGAAACTTTCAGGGAAAGCGAACGTGGGCTCTCGCTCGACCAAATTCTTTTAAAAGAAAAAGAGTCGATGCCCAAGCTCACCGATGCAGCTGCTTGGGAGAAATGGAAGGAAATCGGAAAAATGAGCATGACTGAACATTTTGACACAGCTCTCTTTTTGTATTGCTCGTTGAATAAAGTCTAATCAGTGCAACATTGCTGGACAAACATTACTGCAATGTGAAGACAAATAATTCATTCTTGAACATCAATGTTTCACATTTCTTTTTTTAATCGGCTAGGCTAAGAATCTCTTTCAGTGATAAATGATTGAAAAAGAATGAAATTGGGTCACGAAATGAAACTTGGGTAATTAAACCAAAATTTGCCATCTTTGTCGCCCTATGTCGAAAAGGCTGTGTGCCAGTTGCCGTTTTTTGCAACGAGACACATCAAAGGTATACACAAGAGAAGGATGACAGTATGGAGGCAACTTTTTGGAAAAGCACCTGGCAAGTGTCCAATTTCTTTCAAAAGTGTCAAGTGTTAGAGAGAGAATTGTAGTTTTGAATCTTGGCATCATTTTTCTACTAAAAACTTTCCGATTCGCCTTCTACAACTCATTCAACAAGCACTTGAACGAGCGCTGGTCGACATCAGTCATTTGGCCGCTTTTCTCTATTAAAGATGGTAATTTTTCAATTCAAAAGCCAAAATATTATACAGTTGACTCTCGATATAAAGATTCTATTGGAATGGAATCGCTATATCGAATATCGTCTACAAATAACAGAAATATAGAATGGATTATTATTAGGTTAATTCTCGTCACCCTTTATATACGATTTTTTGATATAACGATTTCCATTCCGCAGTCATGACAATCGTAATATCGAGACGGACTGTTGAATATTTTGGCTATCGAATCCATAAACAAACAATGGTCACGACATTTTTACAAATGTCAAAAAAATAAGCCCGATGCGGGGCTCGAACCCGCGACAGCCAGATTAAGAGTCTGGTGCTCTACCGACTGAGCTAACCGGGCTGCGACGGCCGTCTTTGTGGAAGTGTTTATAAGAAGAGTGAAGGCATGGAATGAATGTCTAAAATGTCAAAGTGTCAAAAATGGCATCAAAAGAAACAGATTGCGGACTTTTCGATGGGGTTTTGATTTTATGAATTTAGCAAATGCTATCAGAGATTTTAAAATCTTCCATCATAATCTCTTTTCCTGATTTCCCTTTGTGAATCTTTCAGAGTTGATCAACAATGTTGTTTGAACTTTTCGATGGTAAAAACAGTTAGCAATGAATGAAGTAAACAAAATTAAGCCATTGTTTCCACATCGACAAATCCTGTTTCTTGTTTTCAGCGCTTGTTTCTGATTAAGTATATTTTTAGAGATGATAAAGCACATCACAGCAAAAGTTTTTTTAAAGTTTATTCAAGTTTTGTTGAATGCTGATGAGGAAAAAGGAATCTCTTGGACTTTGTGATTTTTGTGAAATTGAGTTGTGAAATCAAAATGGCTCAATTGTCGTAATTTTTTTGTAAGTTTCTCAAAATTGTCAGTTTTTATCTGTGAAGCTGATAACACATTAAAGGACTCAATTCCAGGTAATTTGATGTGTGTTATCAGCAAAAAAATATCTAAAACATTTATTTTCCCGTCTCTTTTAATGTTTTCCGATAAGCCACAGGAAGCAAACCCAAGGTGTCCCCATTCCACAATTGTTCAAACTCACCGCCCGTGTAGGAGTAACTCTTTCAATTCAATTTCAATTTTTCAACTCTTTAATTTGAAGCTGAGAATTTGCATATCAATTTGAGATGTAATTTGCATTTATCTTTTCGTTTGCAGAAAAGGCAAAAATGATTAGCCGCATAGGGGGCTCGAACCCCTGACATTCAGATCACCTTCGATTCGTAAAAGTCTGACGCTCTACCAACTGAGCTAATGCGGCCATGTCTTGACGGGGGGAACTAGGGGTCCAAAAGGCGGAGAGTCGCCTGATCTTGAGCAGTCTTGAGAAATGGTAAGTATTCTTAAACACTAAAGTTATTCATTTATCAACAAAATGCAAATTTTTGGCCTTGAAAATTCTTTATAGAATTGTTTCAGACAAAAAAATGGTACTAATTCGGAGAATTGAGACATGCTGTGTCCATTAAACCTCGATCTTTTTCTATCGTAGATCTAGTGGATCCATTAGAATCTATCGCTCCAAAGCCATGTCATTGAGTCTTACTTTTTCAGCGTCTTTTCTTAAGAATCATTTATTATCTATTATATTATAATTATTATAAGCAAAAGAGCATGTTTGTCTTTTTTTTTATCGGAAAATTTATCCTTTTTGACAGACTTTAAAAGGTTCATCATAATTTTCTAGTTTCTCGAGCAAAAACTTCCAATTTCTCTTATATTTCAACGTTTTTCTATTATTTATATTTATTTTTATTGTTAATTCACTATGATTGATTCCGATTGAATGCTTGACTTGAAATTATTCAATTCTTATGACCATTTTTTGTTGACAACGTGAGAGATTGATTGAAAATGAATACGAGATTCATCTACTTATCTATCCAATTCAAAAACTTTTCTTTATTTTGATTAAAATCTCTGAGTTTATTGGAATAAATAATAAGCGATCGTTGATTTTTGAATCAATTGAAACAACGCAACTGTGTATACCCAAAAACGAACGAATGTTTTCATTTAGATCTCAAGCGGTTTGTACAGTCTAACTGTCATCTTATTCTTCACATTCTACGGGTTTCAACGAGAAAATGACACCTCTTTCAACTATTTCTCCGTGTCTTCAATCTACTCACTGAATTTGGGAGTTCCTTTACGGCCATTGCTGGTGTGTTGATCACATTAGAGCCTGTTTGAATCAAATAAAACAACTCAACGAAAGTGTTCAAGCCTTGTATTTCAAAAACCAACTAGAAACATACACTAAAGTTTTTGTTTGTAAACTCTCATAAACTCTAAATACAAAAATTTAAGCTCTTCAATTCTTAACCGGAGTGAATTGTGCTAGGGCGATCATTCACTGCTTCAAATTCCGATTTGAAGTGGTTGTCTCTGGAAAGTTTAGCCATAGGTCGATTGCTTATAGAATAATTTTAAAAAGTTTTGTTTCTGTGGGTTTTTGTGTGTTACCAAGATTGTAATCTTATTTTTATAAGCTGTTATTTTATATTTCAATGATTTAAGTTCAATGATTCAATGATCAATGTGAGGTACATTATAGATTACAGATTATAGATGATTTCAAGCGGCTCAATTTACTCAAAATGCTCAAATCCTGAGTTCAAATCGTTGCTTCATTCAGTCTATACGTCTATAAATTTTTGCTTTTCAACAAGATGAACGGTAACGGGATGAACGGTAACGCGATGAACATTAACGCGATGATTTATTCACGACAATCGATGCCTTCCATTCGTATCTAATGGACTGACCCAAGAAACTGTAGAAATTTTCTTTTCCATTCTTCTAGCGAGTAAATTGATGACATATATTAGATAGGGTTTTGTTGTAAGTAGAATCGCAAAAGGATATAGAAAACCAAAAGGAACGATTAGAAACCAAACGATGAAGTTAAAAGCTAGGCGATTTATAAATGATATTTACTCAAAAATAATTACCAGGTAAAGCCTCTGAAGAGAGGCTGAAAAATGCAGCAATTAGTAGTAGCAAAGCCAGTGCGGCAGGCGAGAGGGAGAAAGCTGTCTGAAAGGTTTGATGTTAGACGAAGGTGATCTTATGTATCAAGATATCAAATCGTTTAGAGTAGCAACTCAAAACCGCTTACGATCCCAATTTGTATTTGAAAATAAAATATATATGTCGTAGCCGATTATGAATGAAAGTAGCTTTTTCTAGAAATTTGTCGTCAAATGCAAATTATTTTTTTATGCTGTAGTTGGTAAAACCCCAATTCCCCCAGTTCGAGTACGGATCGGCAACTTTCCCATTTCGACCCAGAATTTAAATTGTGTTTGTTTGTTGTTTGAATTTGTTTTGAACCGTAATACGTTACTATTGGGTTGGGGAGAATGAGTCGGCGCCAAACTTTAAAGGGACTTTTTGCACACATAAAGCCTTCTTTAAACATACGTTTGGTTTCATCAAAAGGATCCACTATTTCTCTACAAAATGACTTTTGAGAGATTCCACAAAGCTTTTCTTTCGTGGAGTTTATGGATTCCCAAACACAGCTAGTCAAAATGGCAAAGAGTCCGACTCATCATTTGAACAGTTTCTTTCACATAAACCTTCTTTGGTGTTTATATAAAAAGATAGAGCACATTCAATTACTTAAGTTGCCAAATTTGCAGGAAGATCCCACCAATGGTTTTTTTCTAGATCACAGTTTGTAGTTTTTGTGAAAAAATGGCTTTTTCTTGAGCGGAGGCGCTGTTTGAATTTTCTTTTAAATGTCATTTTGTAGAGAATTAGTTAACCATTCTACTCATATCAAACTCATATTATTTGACGAAGTCTGCTAGAAGTTTTAGACATTTTTTTGATTTTCGGCGCCGACTCATTCTCCCCAACCCAATAGTTACCACTTGTTAATCGCTTTATACTTTCGAACAAAGTTTAAGTTTTCACGTTTTCACATTTTTAACTTTTGGCTTTTATATTTTCATCGGACTAAATTTTCTTTTTAGGATGGATGATCGATTTGCCGAAACCTTCACGCAATATCAATCTCAAAGAAAGAAGATTTTGATACCGTCTGCTGACAAATACAATGAAATCGTTGTGAAAATCAAAGAATTCAACGAGGGTTTTCCGATAAGAAGAAAAAATCACGCGATGATGTCAACTTGCTAAATCGTTCCTCTCTTCGATACAGGACCAGGCGAATCTCTACAGTCACGGAAGCGGGCAAAACAATCAACCAAAGCGAGTGGTCAAGATGGAGGAGCTCTTCAATCTACTGATGGATACTCACAAACGACTAGGACACGCTGGACGCGATATTATGTGGAAGGAACTTCGCGACTATCATGGAATTTCAGAGGAGATTATTGAAATATTCGGTGCCCGACGGTGACTACAAGTTCTTGATGATTTACCAGGATCACTTCACAAAATTTGTGATCCTTCGTGCATTAAAATCTAAAACAGCATTTGACCAGTTGAAGTGGGAAGAACAGTCCGACTGACGATTGATTCTG